GCCTGAGCCGCGCTCAGTAGCGCGTGGCGCCTCGCGCCTCGGGGAGCGGGGCAGACGGAGCACCCTGGACCTGCCTTAGGCCGGGAGTTGCGGGCTAAGGGGCCTGGGTCCCAGCTCTTCCGGGTGGGGCATGGGCTGGACGCCCGCCCCCAAATCAAGAAAAGGACGCCCCCTCTCCACCGGCCCCTACCTCTAGTTGACACCAGTTCTGGCTCCACCAGGCGTCTGGGTGTGGCTGGTTTACCTGTCGTGTGTTCGGTAGGTACCGTGGGCAACTCACCGGTCTTCTGGAAGGGGACCCTGAGCAACCTTGTCTCCTGCATCGGGTTGCTGCAGTCAACGAACTAATACGTCAAAACGAGGTTTGAGAGGTCTACATCGGTAAGGGATTATCATTACCAGGTTATATAGGTTTAGAATTAGGACTCAGGCCTCTGAGCAAGTATCCTCTAGGGCCCAGATCAGCTGTGCTGTGCTAAAACGTTGCTTGTGCTTCAGAATAACCCTGGAGTTGTGATTAGGTCTGGGACCCATCCAGGAATCTGCATTTCTTATAGGTTGCCAAATTCTGATAAAGGGTGTACCTAAACAACACTTGGAAAACCATTCCCTTAGTGTCTTTTGCCATCCTAAGGGGCAAACAGAAGGAAATAAAAGAGTGGGATGGTAGTCAACAGGAGGGCTGGGCTGATAAGAGAGCTGCCTAAAGTTGGAGTGGAATGAGGCAGCCCCAGGAAGGAGTGGTGTTGGCAGCTGTAGAGCTGCACAATGCCTCACAATCACCCCAAACTCCTACAGGATCAGGTAAGCCCTGCTCTTACATCATTCATGACTTAGGCTACAGTTTTTCTTGGCTTTAAACATTTCATTCTCCCTAAGTTGGTGGCAGGGCTCCGTGATCGACACTGACTGGATGCAATATCCTATTCTGTCATATTTTGAACGTCTCTGGGCTGGTCATTCCAGCTACACTTTGAACCCAACAAAACCACCATTTTAGCGACATTCATCCAACACAGCAGGGAGCAGGGTGGGCAAGTGAAGGGACAGGGCCATAAGGCCCTCAGGATAGGACTGGGCTGGGGTAGGTAAGGCGCAAACCCCATCTGTCCCAAGCATTAGGGTGGGAACAGTACTTGGCTATAGGCCAGGACTAAAAGTCAGAACAGGTGCCACTGGGTTGAGAGCCAAGGAAACCAGTTCTCTTTTAGGGACTTAGATGGGATGGGACAACCCAAACCTGTTCCACTCTAGGCAGCTATGCAGTGGGGCCCCAGGCAGGTATTCTCAGAACCCTGTTTCTGCTGATTTGGAGTCTCGCTCCAGTTCTGACCTTGGGAAAATCATATTGTCTTGATTGTTTATAAAACATGGGGATGGCCTCCAGAAATTTACAAGCTTCCTTCTAGCTCTGAGACTCTTACCCCACTGGGCTCCCTCTTTTCTTTAAAAATCTCCAGATATGGGAGAGAAAGGTTGAGAAATCCTCTATCCTAAGGGCTGATTGCACCTCTGTGTCCCCCATCACCAGTGAGCAGGCTGGAGGGCAGGAGCAGGACCTGGACCAGCCACTCTCCAAGGACACAGGGCTGAGCCAGACAGAAGGCAGCAGCAAGTAGATTGCTTCTCCCCAAAAACACCAGTTTAGAAGCAGATGGGTTTGCTTCATAATATGTTTAATTTGAAATGGCAGCAGCCACTGTGCAGTTGTAACGAAATTAGCCCCAGGGTATCCAGAGAAATGTACGCAGGCGGCCTCGGTTGGAGTTGAGCCAGCCAACCCAGGACTACTGCCCAGTCAGCTGTGGGCTGTCACATGGCCAGGACTGGACGGTGGCAGCGGCCGCCCAGTGCTGGAGGCATGGAGCCCGTCCTTCATGAGCATGCTGACCTCTGCCCCACCGTGGATTCTGGGTGGCACAGGTGTTCTGAGATGCCCATCCCCAGAGCTCCACCCCAGCGTGGTAGGGTTTCAGCCCTAAAGAATGAGGGATCGAGGGCCTGCTGCAGAGCAAGCGCCTACTCACAAGCTGCTGGGAGCCGAGGCCTCTAGAAATCGGCAGAAACAAAGTCTAGGTTTAGGAGTACTTTTCCCCAGAAAGAAAAGAGGCTACAAGTTCAAATAAATGGAGAGGGGCAATGCTTCTGGTGTCCTTGAGGAGAGGGTTCCCTGGCAGAGCCTCAACCAAGAGAAAGGTGCCTACCCTGGGAGGTGGGGGGGCATCAGCCTCAGAAGTTAGACAGCAAGGGCAGAGAGTCACCAAAGCCCTTCCAGAGAGCCCCAGAAGAGCCAGCAAGCTTCCCAACGAGTCCATTTTAAGCCACTGCCTGCTTTTCCTGGGCTGGTGGACTGGCCCGGCTCTGAGGCCCATGGCGCTTGGCGGCCGTCAAGCAGCGGGGCCTGCCTGGAGGAGAGTGGCCGCATCTCTCCTTCCAGAGAAGGCCTCTAGGTGCTGGGAAATGGGGCGAAAGGTCTTGGTGTTAGTGGAAGTCTGCGTTGAAGGCTCTGCCGATGATTAGCCGCCTCACCTCACTGGTCCCAGCCCCAATCTCATACAGCTTGGCGTCTCGCAGAAAGCGGCCCATGGGAAAGTCGTTGATGTAGCCATTGCCACCTGCAGCCGGGGTTTGGGCAGAGAAGGAAGAACAACGGCAAAAGTAATGGGCAGTGAGCAAAGCAAGTCAGGTAAACAGAAGGCCAAGTGTATAGAAATGGGCCAGGAGGAGAGACTGATAGAAGAGAAGTAGCAAAAGGTGGTGAGAGGGAGAGTGTGGGGTAACGCCTAGCTGGGGGAAGGTGGACAAGGGGCTGGAAGTGCTGAGGATACCAGGCGAAGGTGGAGAATCATCAGTAGACATGGAGAAGGGGATAAGCAGCTATACTGCACAGCACTGCCAGGCCCAGAGAGGTGAAGCAATTGGCACAGGTCACAAAGCAGTAGGGTCGTTGACTCGAACGCAGGCTGTCTGGCTTGAGTCTGTGCTCTTAACCATGGTGCAGCATTGAAACGAGGCTGTTCCCCACTTCCCAGCGTCCACAGGACCAGGTGGGAGGGTGAGAGGGGGCACTGGGGAAGGCAGCGGCAACGTGCAGCCTCTGGCACTTTCCCCATTTGCTTTTCCATGTGCTCCCAGTAAGTGGGGCAGGAGAAGCCTGAAGGTGCAGCTCAGCCACAGCACAGGGTGAGAAGTGGAGCCTCTCCTCGGAGGCAGCCACAGGCTCCAGAAATGGGCAGTGGGGGCCACTCACCCAAACACTGAATGCCGTCCAGGGCCACCTGTGTGGCGCACTCGGCTGAGTAAAGAATCACACCGGCGCAGTCCTGCGGGAGGAGGCTCTGGGTCAGGGAGGAGCCGGCCGGGGTCACACAGAGGGGGCCCAGGAGCCACCCTGGCCCCGGCCTGCCCTCTCCTGGATCCGGCCCTGACCTTGGCGGTGCAGTGGCCCTCATCACAGGCCTTGGCGACATTGTAGACGTACTGCCGACAGGCCATGAGGCGGGTGTACATGTCTGCCATCTTCCCCTGCATCAGCTGTGCACAAAGGGAGGTCACAGGTCAGTGTGGAGACACGGTCCTCTCATGCTCACTCCCTGGTTACCAAAAGCAGGTCAGCAGTAGCAGTCCGACAGCTGAGGATGGGGACCCCAGGGCACAGAGAGATGGGACTTGCCTAGGATGACAGAGATGGTAGCAGGTCTGGAGTCAAAATGCCGTTGGCCCTGTGGACACCGTGCCCTGAACCAACCCTCCGCCCACACCACCCTTACTACTGTCCCGCAGCGGACTCGCCCAGGAAGCAGGACTAGAAATGCTGCTGCCTGCAGCTTCCAGCGTCCTGTTTATTCATCTCAAACAGGAAGGGCGGTGACAGGAGATGAACTTCCCAACAACTTCCAAAGCCAGGTGGCATGCTGAAGAAGGCCTTGCAGGCGAAGGACAGTAAATGCCCACAGCACATGCCCCACTGGCTTGTCTGTTAGAGAAAACCTGAACCCAGCGAAATAGTGCATCACAGCCAAAACATCCCACTCACCTGGAAGTGGCCAATCTTCTGGCCAAAGGCCTCCCTCATGTGCAGGTAGGGAATGGTGTGGTCGAGGACGGCCTGCATGAGCCTGTGTTAAGGAGGGAAACGCTGGGAACGGGTCTCACTGTCGCCCACTGCTGGCTGGGGTGGCAAAATGCTAGTGCAGAGAGGCCTGAGGGACAGCAAGGCAAGGGGAGGCGAGGAGCTGGTGACCCAGGGAGGAGAAAAGGAGCATGAGGACTCGTCACCCCTGCTCAGTCACTGCACTGACTGCTCCTTCCTGAGACCAGGCGGAGTGGCGGGACCCCTGCGTAGACGGTTAGAGCCCAGGCACCCTGCTTCATGTTCTGAGTAACTGAACAGAATGGTTCCTCAGGCCTGCTGTCCGCCGCTGAGTGATATTTGCCTTCAGTGCGAAGAAAGTAAACATGAGAGGAAAGGTTCTTTTTTGTCTCCAGGAGAGAATGCTTATCGGTAGGGAGGTGGCTCCCATCAGCCCCCAAGTGGAAGGTACCACCTGCCAAGGAGGCTGCAAAAGCCCAGCCCCAACCACCCCCCGCAGCCTCGCACTCACCCAAGGGGCCCACCAGCCAGCACCAGCCGCTCCAGGTCCAGCCCACTCATCAGCACGTAGACGCCCTTATTTGGATGACCCAGGACGTTGGCAGCTGCCGGGAAAAGTGCTGGTCAGAGGGAAGAGGGCTATCACAGCCGCCTCACTTTTATGCAAGCTACTAGGTTTGGTAACATGGCTCTCTTCCAAGGCATGGAAATATGTCACCTGACCTTCAACTAGAGTTCCAGGTGAGGAAAAGGAAGAAAAGTTTACCACTTCCCATCAGAAATGGAGCTTGCTAGAGGGGACACCCGCCCCCTGCCACAAAACCAGACACAAAGGCCCAATCTTTAGATCTTCCCCTTCTCTCTCTCTCTCTAGGTAATTAGGCTTATTTATTTTTAGTGGAGGTACCAGGGATTGAACCCAGGCCTTCGTGCCTGCTAAACACATACTCTGCCACTGAGCTATACCCTCCCCCGCCCCTTCTCTTCTTGAGCTGCCTTGGATAGGAACGAAGAAAAGCTTGTTTTGTCTAGAAGTCATCCAACCTCTCCCTAGCGTTTTTGTTTTTGTTTTTACACCTGTGCTCATAAAGGAACCAGAGAAATACTCTATCCCCTAGGTTGAGTCTGCTCTGGTCAATATCACCCACCATCCTCCCCAAGGTGGTCCATGGAAGAGTCTGTCCAGGAGATGGGCCATTTAGTGCTGGTGACAGACATTGCTGGGTATCTCCCCATCCCAGAAGCCAGGACACTGGATGGCCTGGGGAGGTGTGGGCAGGAAGCTGAGTGTAAAAAGCTAGCACCACTGACCTGCTGGCAGAGTCAGTGCTGGCAGAGTTTTTCATGCTGATCAAGAAGGCTCTGCACCGACCGCCCCTCCCTAGATGCTCCTTGTAACCAAAGCATACTTTTCCTGGGTGGCAGACTGTGGGGGAGACGGATAGTCTATGGCTGAGGCACGCAGCAAACCTAACTGGTGATCTGATCTGTGCCCTCAGTCTTGGTAGCACACTGTGGGAATGCTGGCTCTCATGATCTGGAGCACTTTTGATTACACTTCAGAAAATACTCAAACTGAACTGCCTTCCCTTCACCAATTCTGACTTCCATCAGTTTATTGAGATGGTTTTTAGCATCATTAATGAATACCTCACACAGGCTCTACAGGCAAATGTACATACAAGGAAGCCTGACAGACACGGGTAGGTAAGGGCAGATCTTACCTTTCTAATCTGGATACCAGAAAGCCAGCCCCAGGCCCAGTATGTTATTGACATAGGAAACACCACCCTTTCCTGCAGCCACAGGCGGGCATACAGCTGCAGTGGCTCAGACCAAGAAGGACAGCTGTCCAGCCCGAGTCCCGCACCTACAGGCCAGTGGGCCAGCACCCAGTGGCAGGCCCACCATCTGGCCACATGCCATTGGTGAGCGAACAACGGTGAGGCTCTCCAGCCCAGAGATGGGCTTTCTCAACCTGTGACAGGGTCAGGACATTCTCAGGGACTCACCAGGAACCTTGCAGTCCTCGAAGATTAGCTCACAGGTGTTAGAGCCTCTCATCCCCAGCTTGTCCAGCTTCTTGGAGGTGCTGAAGCCAGGCATCCCCTTTATGGGAACAAAAGGTGGCCCTCATTACAGAGCACCTCCCAAGCGGCCAAGGAGAGGGAAGACCCCTGGGAAGTACCCATCTTTCCATCAAGTCCCCGTCCTTGCCTGGCACACCTGCATTCTACTCCCCATGCCCCCACTCCAGAAGCACCAGCCCTAGCACCCCTACCCGACCGCAGCCTCCCCCGCTGCTGGCTGCGTTCCCCCCAGTTCTCACCAGGCCAGTTCTTTCCCAATGAAATGCCAGATCCCCGAGGCCCTCCTAACACTTCCTGGCTTTGTTCCCTTTCCTCAGGGGAAATCACTTTCAAGACACTCTCACCAGCCCACTTAGTTCCTTTGCCACCTTGTTCCTCTGCCACCTGTACCTGAGTCCCGCTCGGGATCAAATCAAGCACCTGCTGCTTTGGCCTGTACTAATGGGAGGCGGTATGTGTTGGCCAGTGCCCAGCAGAGTGCCACCAGGTGTTGCTTCCTTCCTCCAGAAGATGAGAGCACCCGACTCAACCTAGAGAGTTTCCATTTCAGCCACACCCTTTGGGTTACTCACTTTTCTTGTCGCCCAGTCCCAGTCAGCTATTCTCCCCAGGTCCCTGCAGAGGGCACTGCAAACCTTTATGCACTCATTCAGGAACCTCTCTACCAACTCCCCCGCCCTCCCCCTCATCCTCCTCCTTGGTCACCAGGCAGATGGTTCCTTCACCATCACCTTTGCCTCTTCTCCCTTAACTCATCATTGTGCTTTGCTCACTAGCTCCTACACAGCTCACTTTCTCCCTCTCCAATTTTCCTTTCTCCTTACCAAAAAATTTGCTCAGTTCACTCCCATTCTTAAAAGCAAACTCAAACTTCCAACATTCCATTCTAACTCCTGCTCTGCCTCCCTCTTGCTTTTACTAACAAGATTTGGAAGTCTTCAGTCTCCACCGGCATCCTGACTCACACCTTGGTCTCCCACAGCTACCCACAGGTCCACCAGTGACACCCTGATTGTTAAAGCTGGTGGCCTCCTTTTAGTTCTCATCTTCCTGGACCTCTGTATGGCCTGGCTCCGTTGATGGCTTCACTGTCTTCAGACTTGATCCATCCTCCCTGGACTCCACTTTCTGGCCACTCTCCTTTCAGTCTCCTCTCCTACCTCAGCCCACCCCAGGAGGGAGCCTCGGCAGAGCATGCAGCACTGTCTTTGCTATCACTGCAAGGAGGTCATCTTTGGTGCCACCTTCAGGAGACAGAAGCCTCCCACTATATACTCCCCTACACTCACCTTCTCCACAATGAAGGCTGTGATGCCCTGAGAAGCTGGCACAACAGCCAGATCTGTCTTGGCGTAGACAACAAGGACGTCAGCATCGGGGCCATTGGTGATCCAGAATTTGTTGCCATTCAAGATGTAGTGATCTCCTAAGAACAGGAAGTTGGCTACTTGTGCAAACTGTGCTGGCCGGTCTGAGCCAGTTAGTCCACAGACCTCCCGCTGAGCAAGCTGCCCAGCTGGGAAACACTTCTGGAAACCCAGCAGAGGCCATCCCCAATCACTGTTCCCTCACCCCGAAGGTCTACTCATTTCAGCTCCCACATCAAGAGAAGCCTCACCTTTCTTTTCTGCTTTTAGCTTCATGGAGACAACATCAGAGCCAGCATTGGGTTCACTCATGGCCAGGGCTCCGATGTATTCACCGCTGATTAGCTGCAAGGAAAACCCCAAAGGGCCTAGTTATGACTTCAGAAGTACCCTGTAGGGGCTCACCAGTACTGCTTCTTGCCTGTTCACATGACACCCCTTCAAACTTCTCTCAGACCAGGTATAGGTAAGGTCTCTCTTCTTTTCCCATTCCCCTTGCGAGGGAAGCTGGTCCCATCTTCTGCTTCTCAAAATGCTCTGCAGATACTGTCCAGTGACCAACCCAGGTGTTCTGGCCCTAATTTAAATTTTTTTGACTGAAGTATTTTAAAGGAAGTCCCTGACCTCTTCCTAACCCTCTCAGGTTCAGGGTGGCATGTGACAGACAGCAAGTCTCCCCAGTGGGAAAGGAGCCGTGTGCAACATGAGATCAGCGTGTGCACTTCCTCACCTTGGGGAGGTACTTCTCCTTCTGGGCCTCATTCCCGTTACGCACAATCTGGTTGAGGCAGAGGTTGGAGTGGGCACCGTAACTGAGGCCCACTGCTCCAGAGGCTCGGGACACCTCCTCCATCACCAGCACGTGCTCCAGGTAGCCCAGGCCGGAGCCACCATACTGAACTGGGGGGGGGGGGAATGGAAAAGGCAGCCCAGGGAAAGTCAGGACACTGATAGGAATCTTACATTTACTTGTGGCAGAGAAACACCCCGGCAGTACATATTCTAAGTTCCCTCTAGTAAGGTTACCAACGTTAACAGGCCAATGCTGTGGAGCCAGCTTATTAGCTCACAGAACTGATTTTGCCTACTGCCTCAGGTCAGCTGAGGTGTGGTTCACAAGACAGTCAGTGCTAAGACCACTGCTTGCTCTGGAGTTTTCCGAACTCCCCAAATCACCTAGTAACTTGTGAAGCATGGGGAGTTTAAGGGTCTGGGTGATCCAGGTGAACCACACTGACCTAATCCTTTTGTCTTCTTGATATCACTGCTTAATCTTCTCTGGGCTGACAGTTAATGGGCGTTTCTCAGGTCCAAGAGGGAGAAGGTTCTGGATTTCTTTGAGTATACTCTTTCCCCAACTTTCCTGCTTCTTTTGGGAATGGTGTTAAAGGACATGCAGGAGAAGTTCTCCGTAGGGAAAGAAACTAGACTCACCAGGGGCTGTGATGCCCAAGACTCCAAGTTTCCCCAGCTGCTTCCAAAACTCCTGCCAACAGAAATGAGTGAGTGCAGTGGGTTGTGAGAAGGCAGCCAGTCACAGGTGCCTGGCACACCTGGGACAACGAGACCCAAGCACCTCACAGAAAGGGGCTGCATTCTTAGGGAGCTTTGCATTTACCAGAAGACTGTGTGAGTCCTTCCAAGCAGCAGTGCAAGTCCCACCCACCCCAGCCCAGCTCCCAGACTGTCCCCCTCCCCGCTCAGTGAGGGCCTCATGACTCACTCGCAGGTTCTTGAATTCATTGCTTCGATCAATCTCCTGGGCCTTGGGGGCTAGGTGCTCCTGAAGAAACTTAGAAATGGTCTGACGAAGCTAGAGGGAGAGAGGGGGACGGACGCCACTGAAACAGTACATTATTGCCCCTGAGGACAGCGTCTCCACTACTGAGCACACCTTCAGGGAAACAGGCCACAAGTAACCTCAGCAAACAGCATCAAACTGAAACTTAGAGGTCCCACCAGTTTATGCTTCCTCAGACATGATCTTCACCTCTCTTTCTGAAGATTATTTCTAAAATGTCACTCCCCTGCATAAATCTTCCATGGCTTTCCATTGTACTTAAAAGACAAACTCTTTATCCAGGACTGGAAGGCCGTGGGTAAGGCGACTCCATTAGGCCTGTCACCAGTACCTTCCCCCCTCCCCCCATTCACTGTGCTCCAGCCACATACTCTGCAGTGTCAGGCTCTTTTCTGCCCCTGAACCTGTTAAAGAGATTAGAAACTCTCTCTCTTTTTAATGGAGATACTGGGGATTTAACCCAGGACCTCGGACCTTCTGCAAACTAAGAATGCACTCTAAGAATGCACTCTATCTTTGAGCTACACCCACCCAGCCACCCACTCCTAAAAACTCCTCTTATCAGGAAAGCCTGAAAACTAGAACTGAACACTTTCTGCCTGACGTGATTCAAAGTTCTGTCTGCAGATGCAAATGGTGACTGGAATTCTGGGCAAGCTCAGGCACTTGCTTAAAGCCAAAGGAGAATCACCTGGGAACTTCAAGTCAGCATCCAAGTGAACAGTCTCCTTCCTCCACGAAAGGCTCTGGCTCAGTCTCATTAGTAAGGACATCTTTCAAGTGTCTGTTCAACTTTGTGCTTTGATCTGATAGGCTGAAGAATGATAGTAGACTACACTGTGCATTTCAACCCCCCCACCCTCGACCCCGAGGTGTGTATTCGAAAAAGATCCCAGTGGTGATTATTAACCAGGTTTGAGAACCACGGCCTTAGACAGTGTTGACGTGTAAGAAGAGTTCAGCCAGCCACAGGGCCACACGCGAGTAGCTCTGCCAGTCCTCCACCAAAACACCCTCAGTCTTCCGGGAATGTTTCTGTCCTTGACTATTTCTAGTCTAACTCCAGCAGCCGGGCCTTGCTGCCTTCACAGAGTAGAGGCTGAGGCTCGCAGCCACCCCGCGCTGGAGCTCCTACAGCCCCCACCCAATCACACGCCGCGGCTGGATGAACGCCAGGCAGGAGTGCGACCACGGAGCAGGGAGATGGGGCGGGGAAAGGGGTCAGGCTCCCTACCAGCTTCTGCTCCTCGCTTAACCCATTGATCGCGTCGTCCACGGGCAACAGCGAGTTGGCCCGCTGGGTAATCAGGCCGGCGAGCGGCTGCAGTAGCGGCTGCAGCCTCCAGTTCGCCATGCGCCGCCCCAGTAACCAAGCTGCAGTCGCCATCTCTTCTTTGTGCTGAGAGCCGGAGCGGTAGAAGCTGCGAGCCAGCCCTGCTCGTTCCACCAATAACCGGCTTCGCTGCCGCCACCCAATCGGCGAGGAGGGGTGGGTATCCAGCAGCCAATCACCTTCCGCGCTACCCTCAGCGGTGACCGTCCGCGGACAGACAAGGGGCCGGTGTGCTTGCTCCGGTGTGGGATCTGTTGGCGTCATCCCTAGTTGGGTCTTTTTTAAGTTGACGAGCAAGAAAAGTGTCTTCTTTTTGAATAGATGATATAGTATCTCCCCAACGACGAAATTGTAATCCCTAATCGCAGGTGTCTATTGCTGTGGGAAAGCAAGTGTTAAAATAGCAAACGGAAAAGCCCGCTGATTGTCCCATGCTTGGCAATACATTGTTAAAACAAATCTGGGATAGCTAAAACTCAGAAAGGAGCGCTCGCTCTAGTGTGCACGGTGACTGTAACTCAGTAAAATTTGTTTTATTACGCAACAGGGTTTTTGGTTTTGATTCGAGTTTTGTGGGAAGGGGGTTGCTAAGGAATTGCTGTCTTCCAAATTAGCCAGGACTTACTTTTAACGGGGTTGGGTGGGTGGGGAGACAGGAAAGGAAGAGTTGTGTGAGGGGAAAGAGGAGAGCTGGTGAAGTTCAGCCTCTGTCTTCCTCCGCCCTTGCTGTTTTCCTCCCCTGTGGGAGTAGGGGCGGGGAAGGGGTCAGTGCCCTTGAACAATTACTCTCAGGTAGATCAGGCCCTGAGTGTGGGAACAGCCTTGCAGTCCTGTCACCTAGCTGTGGGGCTTTGGACAAGTTTCTTGGATCTTTTCAGACTAATTCATCATCTATAAAATATCTATAAAATGAAAACAACACCAATCATTGCAAGGCTGTTAGGAGGAGTAAAGGAGATTTACATATTTGATGACAAAGCTTTTTTTTTGTGGGGGAGTGACGGAGATAACTAGGTTTATTTATTATTTTTAATGGAGGTACTGGGGATTTAACCCAGGACCTCATGCGTGCTAAGCACAGCACTCTACCGCTGAGTATATCCTCCCAATGACAAAGATTTTTATTCCTTCTTACAGTGCCCCATTAGTCCAAGGTCTCAAACAGACCTAAGACAAAAGTCGGGCTCTGTCAGCTTGTCCAGACCAAAATACTTTCTTCTTCAGCTCACTGCCTTTCATACCAAGGGTATCCTAGTTGGAGAAGAGGGTTCCCCTGTAAACTTCAAATAGAGGTTCTCCTAGACCCCAAGCAGGGTCTTGACTCCCACATTACCCTATTTTCAAGGGCCATTAGTGTAGAATGTTTTTCTCCAAGACTCTGTACTACCCCTAGGAGAGCTCAACACGGTGAGAACCAAGAGCCCAAACTTCAAGGAGGGTGGTAGTGCCCCTAGCTGCTTAAAGGCCAAAATGAAGACTAAAAAAGTCCACTGGATTTACCCACAGGCAAGTCATTGGTGACCTCGAAACTGAGCAGGACCTTGTGGGGCCCTCACAGGTACAAAAGCCCCTCTGTGTCCCTGTTTATTGTTTGTAGGAAAAGACTTTAGTCTCCTAGGCCTTCCCTGAGTTCCAAAGAACAGACTCGAGCAGTTACTAACTAGGGAAGAAAGGGAATGCAGAAACAAAGGAAAAGCAGTCAAGAAACAATAGTGCAGCAATAAAACAGAGTCCTAGTTCCTCCTCAAGGGATATATATACCTATCTGTCATATATCTTTGAGTTGTTATGCAGAAACTAAGACATCCCACACCCAGGTGGAGGTTAGTGATCACAAGCACTAGACCCTAGATGATTAAAATTACTGAAACATCACCCTGTTACTTCACTACACACCAATCAAAAGAAAGTCATGCACCTTGCAGCCCTTACCCCAAATGTTGCCTTTAAGAACCCTTTCCTGGAAGCCACTGGGGATTCAGGTTGTTGATGAAAAACTAATCAGTCAATCTAGGAAAGAAATGGAAAATTTTATTCAAGCCAAATTTGAGGATTATAACTTGAGAACAGTATCTCAGAAAGCACTGGGAACTGTTTTGCCCATTAAAAGTCAAGGCACAGTTATATAAGTTTGTTTTTTTTGAGACAGAGGGCTGTACATTAAATGATATATTGACAGCTTACACAATCCAGATCTAAGTATCATTGTGGCCTCTTACAAGATTAAGAAGAAATGTCATCTTTTAAGGACATATCTTGTTGATATTAGAAAAACGTTGCTCTTAATAGTTGAGCAGGCATTTCTGCCAATGGAAGAGGTTCGGTTGATGCATAATGCAGATCACAATGTACAGTGGGGAGAGAGGAGGCCAAAGGGCAGAGAAAACTTTTTGTTTAAATATTTCTTATCTTGCCATAAAATGTTTATTTTATTTCACAATTTCTCTCTTTTGAGCAATAATATTTTGATAGATGGCATTAGGTGATCAAATATTTTGTCCCTGGAGGCCAGGGTGGTTGCTTGCCTGCCCTGACGTCTATTATGTCCCTTGAGGCCCAGTCCTAATAGCCCAGTTCTCACGTTTTGGGGGTTATATTAGCAGGATATTTGGCAAGGACCTACAGTCAACTCCAAGTTGCCCAGGAAGACTTAAGCCTGTTTTCCTTGCATGTGCATAATATATGTCCATTATTTTATAGAGAACTATCGACATGATCTAGTTTCAAGTCATTCAGATGTCATTATTGTTGGGCCAACTGATGTCCTTCAAAGTCCAGTGACCCCCATTCCTAGGCTCTCAGATGTCTGACATTCTTTACTGAGCATGTTTCCTCTAACAAACTAATAGCCCCAGGTAATGCCTACCTTATCAGAATCAAACTCCATTGCCCTTCATGGACCCTAAACCTCTTACCTCACCTACAACCAATCAGAGACTTGTGCACAAGCCGATAAGCCATCTTGTGACACTACCTTATAAAATACCCCAACAACCAGCCCTCAGTGCTCACACAGGCACCCCTTGCCTGTTTGGCTTGCTGTGGTCTATGATGGTGTACCCTAATACACTCCTTTCTGTTCCCATACTTTATCTCTGGTAAATTCTTTTACCAACCCGTGTGTCACTAGCTCACCAATGGGCCATGTTGTGTGCCCTACAACAATTATCTTAGTATAAATAAATGACACACAGCATGAAAGGCAAGAAACTTTCAGCTTATAAGTTCCACAAACTGTAATTTAAATTCTGGTAGGAGCAACAGTGTCATTAACAAATACTTAAGCCAAGATCCCCCTGAACCAAACCATTTTTCTAGTATTTCCCCTAAACTGGGAAGAGGATTGTTCAGAGCAGAAATTTGACTCTTCATGGGTCATGAGTTAATAAATATCATGGCCAAATGGTCATACCATTGGGAAACTGATAGAAACCAGAGTGCCTGCATTAAAGGTAGACTGACAGGTTGGCAGGGACTGTCTTCTAAGACTGCCTGTAAGTGAATGTGGGCCAAACCAATGTGCAACTCCCTAACCAACCTGGGGAGAGCCAAGGTTATAAACTTGTTCCATAATTCATTGGGTCCTTTCAGGAGCTACCCAATACTTAACCTCTAATGAAAAGGACCATTTATGGCCAGGTTCAGAACAGGCATCATTAATTGGCTAGGTAAATGAGTCTCACTCTGTGATAGTGGTGCTGACAATAGCTTACATGGTACTTGAGTTTCTTTCTTTTAAAATAAAAATTTCTAAGAGTCATCCAACTAGAACCTTGGGGAGGAGAAAACCACCAAGGAAATCTGGGAGTATTGGACACAGGTAATTGGCCACAAGCCCAGGAATTGGATTGATTTTTGAAACTTCCAAATGATTCAGCCCATTTGGTTGATAAGTGAAAGTGTGAGTAACTGTCAAAGTAATCCGTACACAGGCGTGGTCCGGCATCTTTAGTCATCTGTCTACTTCAGATGTCTTCTTCTCACTCCTGGTCTGGTAGTGCCGGTCTTAGTTGAAGTCGAGTGTCAGAAACAGAAATTGCAATTCTTTCAGAAGATGTCTGATATGTTCCTTTCTAACGTGGCCGTGAAGTGTCCTCTATCTGACGTCTTTTCCAGTATGCATAATTGCCTTGTTGCGGATCTTGGCAAATCCAGTCCTCACCCAGAGTTAGATTATAGTTATAAATTTAACAAACTTAATGTCCTTTTAACGGCTAAAAATTATAAGGAGCTATCTGGAAAGTGAGTCTTACATAGTAAATATAGATCTCAATTAACAAAACTAGAAATTAACAGCCACTGAAACATAATCTTTATCTCTCTAAAATTATCTTTATTTCTACCAAATATAGCCAAATTAAGACTAATTTGTTTGCAAAATAAGTCTGGTTAACTGACACATAGGCTATTTTAAATTGGCTGTGCTGGAACTTTTCATAAGGAATGTCAGATTGAACTTTTAAAAACCTCAAGGCCAGGAAAGCCATGCCAAGGATATGTCAGATTCCACCTGTGATATCTATAGATGTGGTTGAATTCCTCTGCTCTTGAGGTCACCAAAATACCTTGAATCTCTGCACCTGTTAGGGGGTAGCCTTCCACAGATACTTGAGAAACCTAAGACTTTCCAAATTCTGGAGGGATCAGGTAGAGGGAAAAAATGTTTCAATTCTACTTAGAAGTGTAATTTACCAAACTGCTGTAAGTCATAGCTTGAGTGGACAGGTTTCTTTTTATCTGGAAAACACAGATGAAAAACCAGTAACATTTCAGGCAAAAACCAAAAATTATTACCATATTCATAAGTTCACTCAGTTCTATGTCCTATTAGTCCTATGACTAATCCTTGATCTTAATCTTCTGTTAACAGTTTTATGAAGCCTTCAGGTTTTTCATTAGAATTCTTTAATTTCTTACCCAGTTCAGTGGTATGATCTGAAAGTTGTCAGAAACTTGTACTTGTCAAAAAGTCCTTTCTATGAATCTTCTTGAAGTGGAAGCACTTTTGCAAAAGCATCAGAATATGACTATAACTGTCTAAAATGAAAAAAAGACTTTAAAATGCAAAGTTAAAGATCTGATTACAAT